ACATACATTTTGGCCGGTCTCAACTTTAAGCTATCAAAATAATACTAAGAGTACATTATGTCTATACACCAAATAAACACTAGTGGCAGTAAAAGCCTCTAGCAAGAAACAAAGCCCAAAACCTGCGGATAATGTCAGCGGTGAAAAGAAAGATCCGAAGGAAAAGGGGAAAATTTAACAAAATGAATCAGCACACAAGCATACAACTCTCATGAATCAGACAATTGGACTCGTCTTACCTCTTGATGTCCAGAGTAACAAAAGCAATTAACGGGGTGTTGACTCTTGAATCATGCCAATCAAGTGAAGTCAACAAACCTTGTACCAAAAAAATGAAACAGACAGACTCGCAGCTGCACTGATAGTCTTGAATCATGCCAGGGATTTGGATTGTAAGTCTACTAAATACGCATACAACCCTCCCATTTGAAGAAGCTCGCTATGATGACCCATCTGCAGGCAAATGTATATATCAACAACTTATTGGAAAACACAGCTTTAAGGCCAGAAACTTTACATGGTGTTTACAAAATAAGCTCTCACCTCAACAATTTGGCCACCATCCATTACAACTATTCTGTCAACGGCTTTTATGGTGGACAGCCTGCATGAAAGATGGTCCAATAATAGAAAATGCTCTCACGACATCAAGAGCACTAAGAATGTGCGATGAACTAAAACACGTGGTGTTAGAAACTCGCCTATGTGCTATAACAATGACTGTCCTTGCTTTCTTGTCGTTTCTTGATGCATGAAGAAGCCTCTTCAAGATAAAAGCAGGTAATGTATTGCAGCAATACGAACCCGAGTTTACTACGACATAAGCATATCAAACATTTACCAATGGGAATAAGTAGCAATAATGAAAAACTCAGGTACCTTGACATAGTGTTCACTTTCTGAATCCAGAGCACTGGTTGCTTCATCAAGGATCAGGATAGCAGGATCCCTGAGAATGGCCCTGGCAATAGCAATCCTTTGCTTCTGTCCCCTGCTAAGTAAGTTATCATCTACTAAGGTTTCATAACCATCAGGAAGAGAGGAAATAAATTCATGAGCACAAGCTTGCTGCGCAGCATGTTCAATATCTTCATGAGTAATGACTCTTTTGCATCCATACGCAATATTTGATTTGATATCCATGTGGAAAAGGTGAGGTTCCTGCCTAAAATGAATATTTAGAATATAATCACACAACTAAATTTTATGTACAAGTAAAATCATAATAGACTAACCTGTCCAACAAAGCCAATCTGCTCTCTCAACCACCTGATATCCACCTCTCTGAGAGGGAGACCATCTATATAGATCTGTAAATTAGAGACATTTATGAACATAAGACCATCAACCAATCATGTAGAGTGCAATACTGAATTCATCTGTAAAGCAAGAACTTCAAAATATTATGTAACTATTTTTATTTTGACAATCTGGAATTCAATCATACATGTACACCTAAAAGCTCCTTATGTAGAAAGAATTCCAGTAAAATTCAGAAGGAACTCACCATATTTTATTTCTCCAAGCATCTTCAAATTTTAAAAGGTTTCAAAATGAACATTCTTCTCTAAAACAGTTATTAAGCCAAGACTTCAGTAACGAAAAACCAAATAAGTTTCCTGCACGAGTAACTCAGCCCTTCTCTTCAGTTTCTCATATTTTTACAAATCCCATTTTTCCTTATCAAATCTCTTTTTCATGCAACACACAATAAAATTACAATCCTCTGAACAGAAAATTATCAACCGGACTCCAACAAGTTGGAGTATGATGCACGGTTACCAATAACTTTACCTGACCACCAGTTGGCTCATAGAGGCGTAGCAAGAGACTAATTAAAGTGCTTTTTCCACTACCACTCAAACCAACCTTGAAAAAAAAAATAGAAGCAGTAAATCTCCAAAACCTTTCTGCCAATATCAAGGGAAAGTACTCATGATTGTGTGAAGATATTACTTACAATTGCAACCACTTCACCTGCTCGAACAGAAAGGTATATATGATCTAGGATTGGTCCCTGTGCAAATTTTAGTGAAAAGTGGCTAAGTTCTTCCCTCCTTCCAAAAGGAAAGGCAAAACTAAATGAGAAGAAAATAGCAAGGAAAACGGAAATATTAAGCAAATAGTGGTCTTCCATTATTTATTTACTGAGCATACTTCAATCCAATTTTTACATGTGCAACAGCTGACATGATGTGCACGTGAGAGATGAGAGTCCATGCACGTGAGAGATGAGAGTACAAAAAAAAAATTAAAACCCCATTTAGTATTAACTAAGAAACACAATATGTGATTATTACCCTTGAAGGATATTGAAATGATACGTTCACAAACTGTATATGACCCAGTAGCTTCTGCAATTTTGTTCCTGGATAAAGTTTGGATGCACAATCAAATAAAAACTCATTCGAATAACTAACAAAATGATCAAATCGGAAAACTAGGGTTCAGGGGAATCTGGGGAAGCTTATAAAAAATCAAACTTTTAAAATAAAGCTTTTAATTCGAACTAGAAGCAAATAAAAAAAATGTAAAAAGAAAATAAAAAAAGTATTCCCAAATCTCTATTTTTATCCATTTAAATTTAGAAACGAAAAACTTCTTGCAATTCTCAGGTTCATGTTACCAAAAGTTTCAATTCCCACAAGATTTAAACCATTGTAAAGAATGACCAATACCCCCTATCCCAAATAGTATTCCACAGAGCACTTGCCTTCTGATGAAAAATGGTTGCTGGGAAAGAGATCCATCAGCTGAAAAACTTTCTCTGTTGCGCCAATTGATCGCAGCAGAGATGATAAATTGTCTACAATCCTCCAGATTGCATAAATTAGCCATTCACAGTACAATATATATTTTGTAAGTTGCTCTGTCGATATGTGACCAGCCATCATGGACATTCCTCCAAACAGCACTGCAGTAACCTGTAAATTGTAATTCAACAAAGTCAAAAGTCCAACTAAAGATCTTCATGCTCATGCAGAATTCTTGTAACAGTAAGTCATCCTGAAGCATTAAAACAACTGAATATAGACAATTGGTTGTCCATCATTAACAAATCCACAGAAGTTCTCTCCAGATGTAATATTTCCGATTCATGACACTTGCATGTCTATGTGATTGAGATATCATGTATTTGTAATTCTTGACACCCAATATGGAATGATAGACTTTGACATGTGTTCAGTCCATCACCAGCATTACCTAGATACAAGTGTCTTCACCATTTTAGCATAGTGGGGGACCTTAACAATTAGAGATTCAGTTGTGTAATATCATGTATTTGTAATTCGACACCCAATATGGAATGCTAGTTTGACACAGTCCGTCACCAGCATTACCTAGATACAAGTGTCTTCACCATTTTAGCATAGTGGGGGACCTTAACAATTGGAGAATAAGTTGTGTAGAACAAAAGTTGGCTAATTTGGACGATACTCTTAGCCTGTTAGATGCTAAAGGACATTAGATTAGTTTGTTCTGCACCCGAGATTAATTGACCTTGATCCATTCAGAGAGCTATCGTAAATTCATTAAGTGCAACTTGCCAGCAGATGGCAAATTGCAAATACCGAATAAAAATGCCCTAACTTACACTCAAGACAGATGTTACATCCCAATAGAGACATTAAAGAATGACCGATATACTCCCTGCTTTGCATTCTGAAGTAGCATGAAGCAAATTTGTAATCTAAGACTAAAAAGTCGAGTTTCAAAAAGATAAATTGATAATGACCTGCATTGATCTATAAAGGATGCTAAAACTCGTGTTCCACAAACCATAAGCCACATTTTCTCGAATGCTTATAAAAGCTATTTTGTTCAGCCATTGCTTGTACCTACCACCAAATAGGATGCAAAAGTTAATAACTTATGCTGTTAGTGTCTGGGGCAAAAGTGCAAGTTTACAAAAATATTGCCTAATTCATCATTTTACTTTCAAACTCCAATGTCAATAATGGGAAACTAGTAAGGATATGGACACCTCAATTAAATGGAAAACCTAGGAAAAGGTTAAGGAATGTGACACCAAGGCATGCAGTCACACCCAAAACCATCTCATATCTATGTGAGTTTGTTATTTATTAAATCTACAGGTTAATTCTCCAACATATATAAATCTATACACAAACACATACCAAAATATGCTCAAAAATAATTCCCTGGATGTCCCTAAAAAATAATAGTTCCCTGTATGTGCTGAGTTAACCAGAAGAACACTGCACCATGGTGCAGTATATCGGCAGGCAAAGTGCTAAATATACTACATCAAGGTGTGCAATGTCCATGATGAGGCACATAATGACAGCCTGGCAAATTCATCATGTCGACACTGTGCCACGCATTACAGGTCAATACTGTGAAAAATTGATCTATTGATCAACTGCTTGGGGTCAATCTGCTATGATTTTGACCCACCATTGTGCTGAAGTAGCAAAAACATGTTTATCTTGGGAATAACTTAAAGGTGCATATTATTGCAAATCTTGAAAATTTTTGCTTAGTTAGACCCAAAAAAAATGTGATGAAAGCAGTAGAATCCTTGCCCTCCAAATTCTTTTCTCTCTGTTCCATATGCTCGAACTATCCCCATCATAGAAAGTGTTTCTTGTGCAACCTAGATGAAAGCATAAAGTACTGAAAATTAATATCTCAACCAAGTCACATAGTTCCATAAGCAGTTAAAGTTAGTTTCTGCCTTGACCTCATTTGCCCGGGCATTGAACCCTTGAATTAACTTAGCAGCTTTCTTTTGGTACCTACGGGAAAAAAAAACTGCTTGATTGCAATCCTCAATTATAAAATAAGCAAGAAATCGCTGTTGTGGCAGTGAAAATAAACAGATCCATGCATGATATTTGACAAGTTTGAAACTTATATGCAAGTGTCTACAATGAATGCAAGATGACTACTCCATACAAAAAAAAATAATAATAACAATAATCTAAGACACCATTTTCTATTCAGAACATAAAAGTAGAGAGGCTGGGCTCAGTGAAAGCTCAATTTATATCCTGACTCCATGAGCAAGATCCAGTTACCCGACACTTGTACCCCTATGCAGAGTGAACACAAGGAAGGATATAGTTTTCTATCTTTTTTACATATAATTGGTAGTTCAACAACTGATTAGCATAAATTTTGTAAAACATTAGGGCATAATCAAGACAAATTAGTTACCAAATAATAAAAATGACAGAATTAAAAAAACCATGCCATATGTTTCCCCAGTTTACACATCAAAACTCAATTGTCCATGTTCTTTAATATTATTAGATGCATATTTCTCTGCAAAAAAAAAAAAAGGTTGAGCTTACGGAGATTGAAATACTCACTGGCCATAAACCAGAAAGATTGTAGAGAAAAGAGAGCATGCAGCCAATGCTGATAATGCTAGTGGCCAAGACAAAGTCAGCAAAGCAATCAAGGCACCTGTTCCCTAGTGTCAGAACATCAACAAAGAAAATGAAATGATAGACTCGGAATCTAACATAACTGGGTATCTAAAAGAATGGATGGAAGGAATATTCAGTAAAACCTGAAGTCCATTTCGCAGTATCAAATTGATATCATTTCCAATAACATGAGAAAGTTGTTGACAATCTGCTCCAAGTCTATTCGTCAATGCGCCACCAGCTTCTATGTCAAAGAACGATATATCCTATATAAACACAGAGTCTTCAGCCAAATGAATAAATTATCAGGACAGATCCCAAGGTACCTCAGGGGAATAACTGTTTGGTACAACATATACCTGTAAAATAAGGGCTGAAAATAAATATTTTCTAAGGCCCTTAACCTGCAAAATTTAGTAATGTGGAGATAAGATTGTCAAATAAATATGCCTATTCATACAGGCAGAAGACTTGTGGTTTATATTTAGTATGGATGCAAACTAGCTTAGCTATTAAATAAGTGCATATGCTGTACAAGAACCTAGGATCAAATCCCCTCACACCATTGTACCCATATTGGGAAATTTTATTAGAAGGGAGAGGATAAACTTTATCCATTGTGTCAACCACTGGCCCAATGAACCTCCCACGAACCAAAGAGAAATGTGATTTACATTTAGTAAAATGCCTACAATTGAATGAGGGACAATGATGCAATGCCCAACCAATCTAATAATAAAAAGGAATCAGGGAAATTCACCAAACAAAATAGTCATTTTTTATGAATTTTACCCACTGAATCCACTTATTTTAGGTAAATAATGAATGACTTACCAAATCATAGGTTCTCTAAATGAAAGATTACTTGAACAAAAAAATACCAAGAAAAACCAATAATGACAAAAACACACCAGGATAGTATTTGCTACTTCAAAACAACCACTGCGTAGGCCACTGAAACCGAAATTAATTCAGACATAAAAATTCATGCACCACAACCAAATTGCTCAAATTGACTACAGCAATAATTTAACCTGCAGATCCCTGAAGTGAAACACAGCACAATTAACAACCGCAAGTTCTTAGAGAATGCTCCAGCTTCACCCCTCTGTGCAGAAAAAATAGATGCTGCCAATATGCTTGGCATAGATATCTCTGAGACCTGCACGCATAACTTACCTCAAAATAACAAACAAGCAAAAGCAACTCCCTGCAACAGCAAATGCATTGCTAGTATGCTAAAACACATGTACAGACCATTAAATTGAATCCTCAAAAGATAAAGTGCAAACAGGAAAATAATTAAAAAAAACTAATGAAACTTTAATGGTTTAGTAGCAACCTTGAGTTCTAGCTCAGGACTAATAAGCCTCGTATACAGATCTTTAAATTAATAAGATAAGATGCGAGTTTACACTAATCCAACACTAGTGTACACTGTATAGCTAAGAACTGCTTGACTCAACGATTATCAAGTTAATCACGTTCTCATTCACATTTCCAAACTCCAATGTTTTTCTTTTTCTCGTTGATTTCTTCATAAATCAACATAAATAAATAACAAATAATCAAAAATTAAGAGGAAAGTATGCGCACAGCAGCAATAACTAAGGAAGCAACTGCAATATAAACAATCCACTTATCGTCCCCAATCAACGTCCACATTCTACGTAGAGCAGCCAACACAGTGACCGGTTTCGCCATGGAAATTTCTCCATCTTCCTCGTCACACAGTTTCCACCAACTGCAACCAGGCAAACCGGAGCGTAAAAGGCCGGTCCAATCTTCGAAATTCTTCCAGAAATCAAAATTATTTTCTTCGTTTTTACTGTTCATCGACGAGAATCGCCGTGCTGGCGTCGAAGTCGGCGGTTTTAAAAGATCGTTTTGTTGTGTTATATTTAATGGGGAATTTCAGATGGCGTTTGGTTTCGGTTGGGAAATGTGGTGCTTGGGGGTTGAAAATGGAGAAAGTTTGTTTGCCGAGATTAGAGGTGGTGAGAGTATGGAGGTTAGAGTGTGAAACCGCCATTAAAGTTTCACGCATGGAGTTAGCGAGCTGAAAATGGCGATACTGGCAGCATATTCTACCAGTGGAGTGGTGGCGATAACCTTTTGCATAGATGTGGCAAAGAAGTTTTTGGGAAAACGAACAGAGTAGACTCATGACTTAGTTTGATGATGGTTAAATGATGATGCAATAATTTTTTCATAGTTGTTTTTTTTTTATTATTTATAAATACATAGTATAATTTTTTTTATGGTGGAGACATGATTCTTAAAAATATAATTTTTTTATTTTTTTAAACTATTTATTGTAACATTCGATATTTTTTTTTATTTTTTTATTTTTTTAAAATATAATTATTTATTTATTTTATTTTATTTTAATTTAATGAAAAAATATGTAAAATTTTGTTAATGATTTAATTGAAAATAATTTTGAAAAAAATGGTTGAAAATTTGGGTTATGAGGGTATTTTTGAAAGAAAAATAAAAAACTATAAGTCAAAACATAATTTAAAAAAATTGTGTCACGTCATATGTCGGGTCAGCAGCCCTGACCAACCAGGACGAGCCAAGTAGCAAAGGCACTGACGCGGTAGGCCACGCGAGGGGGAGCAACATGGGTGATCTGCATGCGTGCGATCGAATGGCTGAAGTCCATATTGAATCGCGATGAACGGCCCAAATTCACTCTCTATTTAATCGCGATCGGACAGTTCAGATCAAAAGTGATGGACGGTTTAGATCAAAAGCGGATGGGTATAAATAACCCAATCTGCACTCAAACTCTAACCCTAACCGCCAGAACCCCTCGTCGGAGAAGACAACCCAGCCACCGGGGAGTCAGGCCTCACCAGAAACTTTTTCGACCGCCAAAAAAGGTAAAAATTTTTTGCACGAAATTCAATTTTAAACCCACCCATGGCCAAATCGAAGTGAAAAAGCCGGCCAATTGGCCGAAAAACGCTGTCAAAGCCCGGTAGCGCTTCCATGAGAAATTTCACAAACCGCCTCTGATGAGACCTTTCTCGATTTCTGTTTCGTGTATTTTTTTCACTGTTGTGATCACCGTTTTTCTCTGTACAGGTTGACTGAAGCGAAACACCCAACCGCAACGTGAGCCAGAGGAGTCGCCGTACCGGAGAACCCCACCGCCAGTGAGTTTTGATTTTTCGTATTTTTTCAACCCACCAAGGGCATTTGGCGTGTGTGCTTGCAGGAATCGGTGTAAAATCGATCGAATTTGACAAAAATGGTTGACCTGATGCGGACCGTCGCCGCGGGTGGCGACATCGTCACCGGAGCACAGCGGAGTCGCCGTGCCGGATTTCTGAAATTGGTCGAGTAGGCCCTGGGACTGATTTTTGGGTTATTTGGGACATTTTTAGGTACCGTAAACGCGTTTCAGTTCCCGAATAAAAATTCAGGGAACCCAAGGACCGCCCATAGGCGCAGTAAACCATTCAGTTTTTCGTCATGAAATCAAGTAAGAACCCCTCACCCTATTTCCTATTATGGTATTGAAGTTTAAATAAATAATAATATGGTATTTTGTACAAATTAAATATATGTGTATAATTAATTACGGATTGCTAATGGAGCCCGAACCGGACATTATTCTCTGTTAATTTCTGTTGATTGATTTTGCAGTCTAAAAATATGATAGTTTCTAGTTTATCTATTTTATGGTTTATATGCATGTATTATTGTCTTACTTGACCACTATTTGATTTTGGGATTTAAGATATGATTGCATTAGCGGATACATGTTTATTTGTTTATGTAATTATGTTGATTCGGTAATGGAGACTAAGGAAAAACAAGAAAGGGATGTAATTTAATAAACAGATAAGATGACAGTCTCACTAGATATCCTAGGAGATGGTGGACGGATTAGGTTCATGGGGAGCTCTACCGTGAACGTTGTCTCATACCGGACAGGGTATAGAGACTTGGTCATTTGGCGCTCATACCGGACGGGGTATGAGGACGGCTCGCTTTACCCTCATACCGGACGGGATATTGAGGTTTAATATCTTGATGTTCGTACCGGACGAGGTATGGAGACGGCTCTGTAATTAAGATTATTAAGGGAAATGATTCATGTGTAGCAGAGACACCCCGACGGATCTTTATGGATACTAGTAAGCTGGTGAAACGAGATACGGTAATAATTTAGTTTATTGTTAATGAATGTGAATTTATGATATATTCTATATTACTGATCACGCATGAAGTTGTGATATGTATGATATTATTACTTTTATAATTTATTTTCATAAATTCTCCAATGATAAATGAATGGTAAATGATTTTATTTTTAATAAATATATTTGTTTAAATTTAGTGCTCAACTAGTTGTTTTGAGTTTCTACCAACTTTTACTTTTGTGACGGTGATATAGTGTGATGTCCTTACTTGGTTAGTATAACTCATCATTTATTTAACCATTTCAGATTAATAGTACATGGTTCCCGAGTCCGATCCGCAAGAAGATTATGAGTAGATGTTAGATACTTTATATTTTCTTTTACTTTTCTCATTTCTCGTGTTTCTTTCATGAAATTTATTTCGTGATGTTTATTTAATACTTTTAAGTTATTGTGTAAACGATGTAAACGTTAACCTTTTATTTCACTAAAGCACTTAAATTATTATATATTTCATTTTAGATTTACGGGGTCGTTACATTTATTTAGTAAGTTTATGATAGTTTAATATTTTATATTTTTTATATTTTTTATTATTTATAAAATTATCCTTCACTAAAATTTCTTCTATTCAACATTTCTTTTTATATTTTTTTTATTCTTTTCAAAATATTGTATATATATATATTTAATTATATATATTTTTATATATAAACATATATTTATATATTTAATTAAATTTATGTTTTATATTTTTAATTATATATATAATATTTAATTATATCAATTTTATATATACATATATTTATATATTTAATTATCTATGTATTTATATGTTTAATTATACATATTTTATTATATGTATGCATAAATTTATATATGTATATATGTATTTATATATTTAATTATATATAAATACGTGTATATAATATATTTAGATGTATATATTTTATTTTATATATATGTATTTATGTTTTTATTTATATATTATATATGTATATAATATTTTAATTATATATATATCTCTATATTTAATATTATATTTTTTAATTTATTTTCTTTTTAATTTTTATTTATTATTATATACAATAAAAAATATACAAAATATAAATTTATTCAAATATACAACCATATTGTAATACCGGGCCCCAAAATTAATTCCGAGATCAAATTTTGATATAAAATAAAAATAAAAATTATTTTTAAATCAATTTAACTTAATTTTGATTAAATAATTTAAAAAATAGGTTAGAGATTTAATTAAAGCAATTTTGGAAGAAATGAGTGAAAATTAAAGTTCGGATGGTGTTTGTTAAAAAAAAATTAGAAACAGATGGTCAAAATGTAAAAAAAAAAAAGTTCAGCCACGTAAAACTACCTAATCGGCAACCCTGACGAACTGGAGCGTGCTGTGTGGCAAGGCACGCTGACGTCGGTACCACATGGGAGAACACGTGGGCAATCCGCGTACCTCGCGATCTGATAGCTCATGATCGATGTCACGCGTACAAACGGTCCAGATTCATTTCTTACTTAGACGCGATCGGACATCCAAAATCAATCACGATGAACGGTCCAGTTTTATTTCTTCCTTAAGCGCGATTGGACAGAGGAGATCAATTGCAATAAACAGTTTAGATCGACGCGAGATTAATATAAATATTTCGTGTCACACAGAAACTCAAACCCTAACCACTAGTCCCCGTCGAATAAGAAGAACCAAGCATCAAAGAAGAAGGTCGACCGTCAACCGCACATCGTACCGGAGCTATCGTCTGCTGACAAAAAAAGTAAAAATTCTCCCTACCCGCTTGGAATTCAATTCCGAGTACCTCTATGATCAAATCAGAGTAAGAGGGACAACAGGTGAGTCAAAAACTATGGGTAAAACATGGCGGAGCTGTCGTAGCTGAAACCTCAAAATCCCTCCGATTAGCCTATTTTTGATTTTTATTTTACGCGATTTTTTTTTTATCATTGTGTTCATCGTTCTTTTTTTTGTAGGTTAGCTGAATAAGAAACCCTAACCGCGAAGGAGGACCAGCAGAGCCGCCGCACCCGGTGACCCCCCGCTGGTAGGTTCAGTATTTTCGGTAATTTTTCGGTCAAGTGAGTCCCCTTAACATATTTTTTTCGTAAGGATACATGTAAAGCCGGCCACAACTGGCCTGGCCAGAACAGTGACACCACCATTGGAACTCCAAATTTGGCCGAAAAGAGTTTTCGACACCGATTTTATATTTTTTAGATATTTTTAGGTACGTGACAAGTATTTCGAATTCTGAAGAAAAAATTCAGGAAATCCAGTACCCGTCATGAGATGTGGTAGACAGTGTAACGTGTCGAAACACCAATTCAGATAAGGATCTTTCACCCTATTCTCCGTTACGGTAAATTGAGACTTAATGATGTATAATTTCGTATTTGTATAAAAAAATAAAAAATTCTAAAAATAATTACAGGTTACTAACGGATACATAACCAATTAGTTCACAATTATTTTAATTTTCTGTTTATTTTTATGTACTGTCCTACTTGCTTGATTTTCATATAATATATGTTCTTAATTTATAGTTTCAATAATCTTATTGATTTATCTTATTATTTTTGTTATATACCGTCAGTTTAAATGTAGTTTAATTAATATGTAAATGTAATATAAAATATTTGTATACGTTTATTGATAAAAATTAGTATATGAAATACTTACTAGGTATATAGGGAAATGGCAGACGGACCCAGTACATAAAGAACTTTACCGTGAATGTTACCTTAGTCGGACGGGGCTGTGTAGTCCCTTATCAGGAAGGTTTGTGAGATCTGATTCACCATCATACCGGACGGGGTATCGAGATAATAGAATATTTGGTGTCTATTACTGAACGGGATATAAGGACGGTCGGTTAATTATAAAATTGGATATTGGGTTCACGAGTAGGGGAGGACATCCCTATGAACTCCAATGGTACCAGTAAGCAGGTAAGAAATGAAAGTCATTGTCTATTGCTCTTTTATACGTGAAAGTAAAAAGTGACATGAATATGAGTTTTCATATGTCGTTTTTGGAAAACTCGTTACAGTGAGTATTAAACAAACGTTTTCAAGTTTAAAGGTATTTAAATAAAACAAGAGTTTCATTAGTTGTTTTTCATATTTTTATTAATATTCAGTTTTTCGTATATATTATTAGTGTAATATTCTTATTGTGTTAGTGTATTTCACTCTTTCATTAATTATTTCAGATCAAGATGATCAGCATTCATATCTCGATCCGCAAGAGGGTTATGAGTAGTTCACCACCCGAACTCTCTTCAAATATTAGTGAAGATTGTCCTATGTTATTTCTGTATTTGCTATTTTTTTTATTTATTTAATTATCATTTATCTTTTAAAAAGAATATTCCTGTAACTCTATTTGACATTCTAAATTATTGTATAAATAATGTAAACTCTAATTTTATTAATCGCTTTCGTATTTAATTTCATGAATTCATTTTCTCTTGAAGTTCTGGACCAAAAAATATTTTTAATTCAAAATTATTTATTATTTAATAAAAATAACGGTAAAAATTATAATTATTTTAAAATAATTATATATTTTGTGAAAATAAATTTTGAGATTTCAAATATTAACTTGTATTAAAGCTAAAATTATTTTATGAAAATTATAAATTGTTGCTTTTGTGCTTAAATATATAAAAAATTAACTAACTTTAATTTTTGTGAAAATATTTTATAGTTTATTCTTTTAGTCTATAGAACTTCCAAGTAAAATTTGGTCTGGCCCATAAGAACCCGCATTATTTTTTCTTTTCCGCCTTTTGGAGGAGCCAAACCGGGAAAAAAAAAAAGATAAAAAGAAAGAAGACAATCTATTTGTCGCGAATACAGATCCCTTGAACTCTGTCAATGGAACGAATTTAGAACCTAAACTTTCTTCACTGCTAAGTGTCCAGACTCTTGAATCAACTTTCATAGTTCGATCTACCATGGCGGAGACCAAAACCGAGACGAAGACTGATACTCCCAAGATGAAACCGAGACCAATCGTGCGTCTTGGTGTTTTCATCATCTCTCACAGCATCTTCTTCAGGTACCTCACATTCTTTGTTTTCTATCCATTTCTTGTTTTTCTATAATCCGATTAATATCGTCTCCTATTTTGTTTGTGGAATTTGGATTCAGTATTGTTTGCTGTATCTCTGGGGTTTTAGCTCTGTTTCTATTGCCAGTGCTCGCCAAGAACACGTACATTTCCGAAAACGCCCTCATGCCAGGTCGGGTATTTCTCTTCTCTTCCTTCCGATTTGTTTTACGTTGTTTATCAGTGATTTAGTTTGGATTATCTGGAAGCTGTGTTCAGTACCGACGTCGGAATTAGGCTAGACTAGTTCAGTTAGGAGAGAATCCAAATAAATGAAGTCTAATAGACAAAACAATTGTCCTTGCACATGTAGAAAACAGATGTATGTATTCATTACTGTTGAACTGTATGGCATTTGTTGTGTTTGGTTTTATTGCTGATAAAAGGAAATTCAGTTTTAAATTTGTACCATAATATCTGGATTTTGGCCATAGGGAGCGAGAATATCTTAACCAGGGATAGCTCCATTAATTGGCTTCTTTGGCTGAATTTAATCATAATTATTTCATTCTTTTTTCATGGACTGCACGCCCTTCATGAATTATCACTGCGAGCATTGGTTGGTGAAGTAGATTGTTTGAGAATTGGCTTTGATGCCATTGTATTATTCGATACTTATGTCTTGCTCTGCTATCATTTTTCAGGCTCTGCGAGTCCTATGCTCTCCAATCAGGATGTGTCTGATGGGAGTAGATTGGTGAAGGATTTAACAAGTGTGAGGTCAAAACCTGAAGATACGGGAATGTATATGCTTCCTTTACATATTCTTTTTTCACTAGTGAAAAAAAGTTCCTGAAATTGAGTTGGGCAATTTATTTAGAAATAACAGTTTTCTTATCATGCTGCTTGCCACCAGGCTAGTTTTCTATATAGTTGAGGGGTGACTATCCAGTATTATGTTGCTAATTCTCTTCTGTGTTTTCCCTTTGCATATTCTTGATTGTCCCAGATTTTTTACATGCTCAAAAATCTACTTGTTTTGACATAAATATATTGAAAAATCAAATCAGAAATACCCATTTATGTTTCTATGCCAGGGAAAGTCAAAAGCTCGTAGCACGATACATGTCAGATTTGGATGCTGAAGTTAGTTATCACAAGTTCCATCCTGAACTGAATCAGTTTCATCCGCTGCACTTTTTCTCTGGTCCTGATGCACGTAGCATTCAAGAGAACCTTACCTGTTCATTGTATGGTCTCAACACTGTTGGGATAATAAGAGCTGCACGGGGTGATGGGAAGGAAGCTATTGTCTTGGTTACACCTTACAATTTTGAAAGTAATAATCTGGATGGGGCTTTATCTTTGGGCATTATGTATTCCGTATTTTCATTGCTCACTAGAGTTACCTGGCTTGCTAAAGACATCATATGGATAGTTGCGGATTCACGATTTGGAGAATATGCCCCTGTTGCTGCTTGGCTAAAAGATTATCACGCCCCTTTATTCAGCAGTTTGGGCACAGAAAATGCTGAAATGTGCAAGGAAAATGATAATATCTTAGAGCTGACGTATACCTTTAATACAAAAAGAAAGACATATGATGGTATTAAAAGGGCTGGAACAATGGCCGCTGCACTAGTTTTGAAGGTGGGAGAGAGAAGTGCAAACTTTGAAGATACTCTTAGCATTTATGCTGAGGCATCCAACGGGCAGATGCCAAACCTAGACCTCATCAATGTTGTGAATTATCTGGCTGTACATAGGCAAGGTTTACATGTAAAGGTGGAGAAATTTTGGTCTTTACTTGACTCTACCTATCTCAAGATTTTTGGTGAAATTTTTGAATTCTTGGGAACCTTGGCTCGAAGTATAAATCCTGAATGGAAATTTGGTATCCCAGTAGCTGATTATATTGAAGGTGCTGCTACCCTTGCAAGTTCATTGTACCATCAGGTAGGAAAGTACCTTTTAATTCCATTTCCCTCAGCCCTCCCTCTTTATCTCTAGGTACACAAATATATATACATGTACGTATCTCTTGGGGTTGTGGAATAGAATATGATGGTTTTGGTGAATAATTGGTAGTTCAATGGTTCAAGAAAAAAAAGATGCTTACTCTTGTCTTCACTCTAAGGTAAAGTTTTTTTTTGGACAATGTTTGTTACTAAGCTCAATACCAATGGACTACTCCAAGCGTGCAGGTAGAATAATGCTTTGTCCTAGTTGTGTATGATATGTTTTTGTATGCAGAATCCCATAGCTTTTTTTTTTGCATTGCGGTGGTGTGGTGGAGGTTTCAGACTTCGCTATTTGATTCTTTTGGTGTTTGTTGGGTTCCTCCTCCAAGCCATGAGTGCTTTATTTCCGCTTTACATCCTGGTGTAGGGAAGAAAAAGGAGGGTAAATTGCTTTAGGTATAGGAACTATTTGCTGCGTTGTGGGGTTTGTGAGAGGAACATCTGAATTTTGAAGAATATTCTTTCTTCTTCTTTGCTTCTCTGGTGTAGGATGATTTTTTGGCTTCTATCTATCTATTTTGCATAGAGATTATTTGGCTGTTGAATTTGATTTGTTTTCTTTTCTGTTGTTCCAGCTTGTTCTGTTATTCTGCTTTTCTTTCATATGGGTGGTCATCTAGTTCTACCTGATGCACCTTTTCCTCTTCTTTTCCAAAAGTATTTCTTCTCTTATCCTAAAAAAATTTTTGTTTCCCTCCGTTCATTGATGCTTTTCTACTTTTTGTTACTGTCAGGCATTGGGCATTCCCACTGGTTCACATGGAGCTTTCCGTGATTATCAAATTGATGCAATCACTTTGAAAATTTCACCCAAAGTTCAGCTCAGGCAAAATGATTTCCTTCTACGAGGTGGCCGGTCAGTGCTTCTTTACATCTCTTCCATCTATTTTTTTTTTTTTTTAATTTAGCTTTCCATCCATTTCTCTTCAAAAAATTTTAACCTTTCCATCCATGAGGGGTCTCTGTTAGTGTAGCTTTGGAAGAAGTTGAAATGCTCTTTAGACTCTTGACTACCTGGTGAAGGAGTTCATAAAATTCTAAACCGCAGCATTGCCTTGTCTGGTAATTGTGTCATTGCTTATGTTTGCTAACCTGATTTGCTTTACATCATCACTTTTTTGTCCACAAGTAAAAGATAATTTCCTTCTTTTGCTGATTTGTGACGGGAACTTCTTTTCTCGTGAAAGTTTCAGAAAAAATTTTGATATGGATATGTAAGGTTTTTTCTTGTGGGTTTCATGAACTAAAATCAAGAAATTAGAATCAATATGTTGAGTTTCAAGGCATTGCATTTGCTTGTAAAAAGGTGGTTATTGTTGTGGAGCCTTTGCGTTTATATTACCACTATCTGAATCTCCATTTGCTGTTTAAATCAAATGCTATTATCATGCTGATGGGCTCGATCTTGAATTTGTCCTTTTCGAGCCATGCTATGGGTTAGAGTCATTGTTTGGTTTATATAGTGCATCTACTCCTACCTGTATGTAATCAGAATCAATTCTTCAATTATAGTGTTTTATTGGAATACAGGTTGATTGAAGGGGTTATACGATCGGTAAACAATCTGCTCGAGAAGTTTCATCAATCTTTTTTCCTATACCTATTAACATCTCCTAGTAAGTTTGTTTCTGTTGGAGTGTATATGATTGCATTTGCACTCCTCATAGCCCCACTTCCAATTGTTGCAGCATCCCTCTATCTTGATGCTAATAATCTTGATCATAGATTAATTGATGAAAAATCCACCTCTTCACCAGCCACTTCTGGCAATGAACTTGGCATTACTCTCGGATCATGGAAGTGGCTTAATGCAGCAAAAAAGGTGTTTGTTGTTCAGTTATGGGGTGTCGTTGTTTCATTATTTCCATATTTCATCTCTCAAATACCTAGCTCCACCCCAACAACATGCTTTGTAATATGGGTTTCACTCTCAATGCTTAGCCTTGTACTCTTGTTCTTCATTCTGGGTTCCCCATTATTTTTTGCCTGTGCGTCTGGTCTTCAAAATAGAGAGTGGGCTCTCTTGAAATCAGTTACCATCTCTGTTGTCTTCATTGGTTTGAGTCTCATGTCAGTCATTAATTTTGCTACAGCAGAAATTGGGGCTTTGCTAATTGTTCCTATGTGTTTGATGGCTCATCCCTTGAAGCTTGATATCAGAGCTTGGAGTTTGAGAAACTTTTCAAGGATGATATGCAATATAATTCTGGGTTTTATTGGGTTTCCACCAATTGCGTTTTTTGTCTTGAAATGGATTTTTGAAGGTTTTGGCAGCATTGATTTTGGCGACTTCTGGAACTGGGTTGAGTCCCTTTGGGTGTGGAGCAGTGCAACGTACCTGTATATAGGTATGGTACACCTGCCTTCCTGGTTATTATGCATTCAGATTTTTTTTCATCCTTGTTAGTATGTTATAGTCAATTTTGTCCTGTGCCATGGTATTTGAGTTTAAACTGCAAAGCAGATAATTAAAGAGATTCTGATTCAATAGTTTGTATACTCTAGCCTAATTGCTAATTGTTAGAGAGATGATTGAGCGTACAGCTTTAGATTGAACGTACAGATTTATGTTATCACACCTGTGGTCATCTTAGTTGGCAGAAGAAGGTAATGTTTAAGGTTTAGAGGTTGGTAGGTTTCAGAGGCCAAAAAGAAAAATTGGGTGTATTTTATTGTTCTTATTATTTTGATAACAAATGGGTGTATTATTATGATGTGCTGATTTAGCTAGATTCCTTTCAATAAGTAGGTTGAATATTTAAATATCACTGAGAAAAGAGTTAAATATGTTTTTGTTGTTTATCAACTTCATGTTGATTATTTATTGTTGTCTTCTAGATCCTAATATTTTCCCTCTCATATTGGAATAAAAGTTTGTTTTAAACTAACTGTTTAGTGTAAACTGACAAAAATCAATTCTCAAGACTGGATTGTAATAAAACTAAATTAAAGACGTTAAATTGTACATCATTTGAGGGTTTATAAGAGTTAGGTTGAATGCCATGTTCGTCGCAGTAAGGTGTAAGAAATGATTTTTACATTCTTTCCTATATGATAAAAAATTTCTTTATATGATCACTTCTTATCAGTGGTAGTAATTTTTTTCCTTTCCTATTTTTAACTTTTTTACCAAAGTTTTTGACACATTTGTATGCAAGAAAAATAATCTATGAGTATATATATGTATATATATCCAACTTTTCTTTAGGAAGTGTTTTGATATATTAAGAGCAATATATCAAGCTTTTCTTTGACTTAAGTATAAATATTTCAAGTTTTTCTCTTCCCTCAACAAATTCAAAAAAGCGTTTTGTTCAAACTCTCAATTTTTGTCTCAAGGAATTATTTCTAGTTTGCAAATCATTATTTCTGAATCTCTTAATTTAAATTTAAAATTTTCATTTTCATTTTTTTAAATAATCAAACCTCACTAGTGGGAGTTGAAATAAATTTTCAGAAAACTATTCTTTAGTACCAAATTTCTTAGATGATCATGCAATTGCTCAAGGCGTCTTGTAGTTTATCATTAGTATATTTAAGATTAGATAATACCTCGTACTGTCCTTCTTTTGAAGCCATGAAGCAACATTTTGTCATTTTCTGTTCACCTTCACTTTCATTGCTATAACTCCCATGTAGTAACTATAGCCATTCTTTTTAGGTTTCTTATGGTGTCTTTTTGCTCAATGATGATTCACTTTGATATGATCCGACTTCTTGCATTCAAAGCATATGATATAGTACTTGCTCAATTCTAGTTTGAGTGTGAAATTCTTTCTAACTTATTTTTTCTATCTCATGAACTTTCTCGTGAATAGTATTTTTTTTTTTGGTCTTTTTCACTATCTTTGTTAATTTCTATTTTATTTTGTGAATGTAAATGCAATAGAACAAGTTTTTTTTTTTTTTTTATCTTCTTTACTAACTTTATTTATCTTGTTACTATTAAAATCAAGAGTTCTTATTGAATCTAATAATTCATTAAAATTAAATTTTATGATACTTAACTTCTTGAATGAATGCTATGTTTACATTCAATGATTTTATTAAGCGTTTTTAAATTTTTTCTTACTAACTTACCATCAGAATATAATATTTATTAAGAGATTCAAGTGCATTGATAATACTGAAAAGTTGAAAATCTTTGATGCATTTGGTTGAGTTATACTCCGGTCGTTACTTTTAACACATGTTGGATCAGATAATGAAAGATAAAAGTTTCTATTAGAATTTCAGATAAATGTATACTTGAATGAGTTTTTATTTAAAAGATTGATTGAGCTACTCACGTAAACAACAACAAATTATATATGAGACAATATTTTAAAGGAGACCCGTAGTTTAACAACCTCACTTTTAAAAAGATAGTAGCATATTTCTTTTTTTTTTTGTATTTTTTAATGCAAAAAATATAAAGAGAAAAAAAAAAGGAAGATATAAGGGGGACCTTATAGTTTTAGGGGTAGAGAATATATGTGCGTTTCATTTGTTTATATAATTAGGTTGAGTTCTCCAAGCCCTTTGAATCGTTTTGGTCCCCATGAAAGTGAACTTACAGTTTTAACTTGTTGGGTTTTGTCCCTTTGTTTGAAGAGCAAATGGATGGGTACTTGAGTGGTGTTAGATGTTCAACTACAAAGATTAAATTGTGAATAATATGAGCATGGTTAATTATTTTTTTTAAGAGTAAAGCGTAATTTTAATTTATGTGGGTTGATTTGTTATAATCTAATTCTGTAAAAAATTTAACTTTTATATTTTCTGTAATTTTATGCAAAATTGTTTCTTTTTTTTTTCTCCCCTTTACATGTTCTAGCTTCTAATAATGGTAGTACGAAAATTCAAAGTTAAATGAATTAAAATAGATAAAATTAAAGTTATTAGATAATAGCACAAAAATTTTATCGTTGTATAAAATAATAAGAAAATCTAGCTAATAAAATTTGCGTAAGCCTATTAAACTATTATTGTCTTGATTTGTTGAACGTATCGATTAAACTTTAATAATAAAATATTTATAAAGAATTAAGACTCACACGACTTTTTTTATTATTTTAAAAAAAATTCATATTTCATTAAAAAAATAATTTATTAATAATTTAATTTTTTAAAAGTAAAATGATTATCATCTTGACGTTACAGTTGGGACCTATGAGGAAAAACCAACCAATATTTAGAAAAAAATAATAATAGATAAATCCTGCCTGCTGGCGGTTAGTCATCAATCATTTTTAAAAAGAGAGAGAAAATCTTTCACGTGTTTAACAGGTCACTAATTCTTCAAGCAGCTTAATAATACCCATTCATTCAGCTGGAGAAATCAGAATTTCAGAATAGATGACGTGGAGGAGAAACTTCGTACGCACACGCCCCTCTATAGCGCGTGCGTGAACTTGCATACACTTGGCTGGACGCCAAGCAAACTGCGCCTGCCAGCTGTCCGGTAAGAAACTTGCCACGTTTGACTTCTTCATGCGTTACGTTATCGGCTTGTCAAATTTTCTTTTTTTAATTTTAAAAAAACAATATTTTTAGAGGCTAAAATTAATTAGTAAATAAAAACATTTATTTCAAAAATTTAAATAAATAAAATTTTTTGAGCCAAGTGATAATTCTCTCAAGGCAAAGAAATTTAAAATTACTTATCCTCTTGCTTGAAGTTTCGAGAACGTGACTTGCACGCGCCTTAAATTGGACTTTCTCCAAAACAGTCGCGTTCTCTTGTCTTTTCCATTTCCCCCCCCCCCACCTAACCAGGAGATTCTACTCCCTCGTTTTCTCGCCTGCAGCCATTGTTATTTGCCCTCAAAGCCCAAAACCGGAGAGTCAGAGACTCCACAGACGGATTCTTGAAGAAATAATCAACAAAAGTGAACCAGAAGAAGAAGAAGAAGAAGAAGAAGAAGAAGAAGAAGAGAGAGAGAGAGAGAGAGAGAGAGAGAGAGAGAGAGAGAGAGAGAGAGAGAGAGAGAGAGAGAGAGAGAGAGAGAGAGAGAGAGAGAGAGAGAGAGAGAGACGGAGGGAGAAATGGATGACTTGCTGTATGAGGAGCTTCTTCAAGAGATATTTACAAGACTGCCGTCAACACCATCGTCTTCTCTATCAGTCTCTCTGGTCTCCAAGCGCTGGCTCCGTCTCTATCGAAGTTCACGAACCTCTCTCTCCCTCCGTGTTCCTCCTCACAACTCCATAATTCCCTCTCTGTCCTCTTTCCTCTGTCACTACCCTTCCTTGTCTTCCCTCTCCATTCTTCTCTCTTCTTTTGACTCCGCAACCTCGACAGGTTGCTCTCTCTCCGATCACCTTCTCTTCGCAGTCTCCTCTTCTTGCCCCAACCTTCGGCTCCTTAGGTTCTTGGCTGGTCCAGTGTCGTTTTCTTATCTCCGTTCTTTGTCTACAACATGTATCCATCTTACATCTCTCACTGTTTCTCTCCCTCGGAGGCCTCTGGTTTTTAGCTGGATTGCTTCTTTTTCCTGCTTGAAGGAGCTGTCTGTTCACGTCTGCCCTAGAGATGGTGTTGAAGATGATTGTGGTGGAAACAAGGAATCTGGATTGTGTTCCAGTGAGGGTTTTGAGGCAGAATTGGGTTTGGAAAGCCTTTATTTGTCTGGAATTCGAGCAGGAGATTGGGGTGTGGGTTGGCTATGGAAGAACTGTAAAAGGCTGAAGAAATTGCAGCTGAAGAGCTGTGAAAGTATTGGGGACGGAGAGTCTCTTGCTTCTTTTGTTAAATGTTTGGAGGGTATTGAAGAAGTTGAGCTGAGGACATGTAGGAGTATTGTTGATGGGGTTCTCTTAAAATTAGCAGAGAATTGTTGCTCCCTCACATCTCTTCTGGTCTACGATGGCGGCAGCAGAGAAGGTTTACTTCATTTCATTAGCAATTGCAGGTGTAAATTGACTAAACTTGACCTTCGTCTACCTCTAGACCTTAAAAATAATCATCTCCTTGCTGTTGCATTGAATTTTAGGGGTCTCTCCATTCTCAGGCTGCAAAGTTGCTGTCTGGTGACTGGTGAGGGCCTAAAGACTTTAGGGATTGCCCTGAGTTCTGGTCTTAGAGAATTGGCACTAATTAACTGTGATGTTGTTGAGAGAGAACCTGGGTTGCTTGCTACTTTAGGACAGCATTTTAGGCAATTAAAGAAATTGGACTTGTCTTACAATGAGATGTTGCTTGACAAGGAATTTGTCTCCATGTTAGCTTCATGTAATTTTCTGATTGAGTTGAAGTTGAGAGGGTGCAAGAAGCTCACTGGTTTAGCCATGTCCTCAATGTGCAAGAGTTGCCAGAAATTGGAGAGTGTTGATGTTGTGCATTGTTGTGGGATTGAGGCTGAGGCTGTGGAGTTGTTTGTCCTAAATTCTCCACAGCTGCAGCTCTTGCAGGTTGAAGAAAGTAAGATTTCCAATGCTGCAAGGGCACTGGTTTTAAATAGATCTATACAAGTTGTTGTCTGATTGATGATTTTAATATGTTAGCTTCACGTAGTTTTCTGATTGAATTAAAGTTCAGAGGGTTTCAAGAGGCTCAGTGGTTTAGCCATGCCCTTGATATGCAAGAGTTTGCAGAAATTGGAGAGGGTTGATGTTTTACATTGTTGTGGGTTGAGACTGAGCTGTGGAGTTGTTTGTTCTGGATTCTCCACAGATGTGGAGGTCGCAGGTTGAAGAAAGTGGGTGTTGCAGGTTAGAGAAAGTGAGATTTCAGATGCTGCGAGGGCATTGGCTTTGAATAGATCTGTAGAAGTTGTTGCCTGATTGATGATTTCAATTTGGGATATTGAAAAGGGCTTATTACTTTATATAGTACTAAGTTATTCAAAGCTGCAAAACAAGCAAAAGTACAGGTACATATAAAAGCACTTGCTCTTAGTCTCTTGTAAATATTTATGTTTTACAAGCTATGTCTTGAGATGAGCAGCTTTATTATGGAATAGGTTGTTAGTACAAATATTTGGTTCTAATAATTAAGATTTATAGCAACATTTACTTTTGATTGTTCCTTCTCTGTACCAAATATTAATTTCTTAGTTGTTATACAATTTTCTTTCTTATGGCGTCATAGTTTGGCTTAGCAACATACCCCCTCACTAGAAGGGTGTATATGAGTGGTTCTTTACTTGGCAGGAATAGCATTGGCTCTGATATAATGCTACATTGTAATCCAATATCATATGATGATAGATATATCTACGTAAAGTTAACTTATTATGAATCCTCATACTTGGTGGACATGGAATTAAAACTTTTAATATTAATCATGGCTGTTTCTTTCTGAAAATTATACCATGTTTTTTTTTGTATTTTCTTGATACCCCATCTGTGGGGATAAAAACGTGATTGATGAGGAGATCAAAGGGTTTTGGTTTACTCGCTACTAGCAAGTTAAGCTTAAGTTTTTCAAGACCAATCCTTTGGTCTGCCAAGTTATTAAACTTAGTGATTTTAGAGCTCAGTGGGTTACATTCCTCATGCTACTAGAGGCAATTATTATTTATCTATTAGATCAAACAGTGTGGTGATAAATGGTTGTTGTCATTGTAATTTGCTTTTCCTCAAGTTCATTATCTCAATATATAAATAGTTAGCTCTTAAGGTGTAAGAAAATATTATGGGTTAATTCTATGTCCTAAATGCGTTGCGGATTACAACTTGTTAATTTCTGTTACTTTTATTGATGGGATGATTTGATTTTGTGCACCGGAGCAAACTTAAACTAAAGAACTCCGGTCTATATATATTATCATCGATAAACTGATAAATTGTCACTTGTCTGATATTTAAGTTCATCAGTAATTAGAATATAGTTTTGAACTTATGATAAACACATTGTAATTGTAATTAAGATTACTTTTGAGCAACGATTGAATCATGCAAATTCTTGTAGTGTGTTTGATTTAGCCATAGCATAACAAAAATGGATGGAACCATGATCCGCTCATAGAAGATTATAACTAAAAATTTCATAGATTTATTTAAATCAGGATGCATAAGCAGATTGTTTAATCAGAAATGCAAAGAAGTGATGTCCTTTTGGACTTGTTGTTGCAGAAATTAGGCAATTTCTTAAAAAATGGAGGAATTACTAAAGCTTATGATCTGTACAAATTTTTTTCTATTTGGTTATGAAGTGTTTTAACACCAATGGAGCTGCATCCTAACACAATGTACCTAATTTTTTAGGGTGTGCATAGAACTTGTCGTTCGTTTGTTAGGTATTCATTTGAGTTATCGGTATTATATTTAAAACAAATTCTTTTATCAGAATGCAAGTAAAAACGTTTCTTCTTTTTTCGCAACTAAAATTACATATTACAAGTTTACGTTTTTTTTACAAAAAATATAATATTTTGTCACTTGATGATGAGTAAAAATATTAGTGTCGAAAATAGTTTTTATAATTTTTGACGCGTAAAATTCAGTTTAATTTTTTTTTAAAAAAATAAAAACATAGGAGAAGTATTCAGAAAGTGTTAAATTATTTTTTCTTTATATTTGTAAGTACATTAGGGGCGGGTGCATATACAAACAAAAAGAAAGAAAAATGGAATCTAAGGAGTTTGAGATTTGGAAAGATAAATTTGTTGATATATGCACAACAGTTTTTTTACTAGCTTCCATAAATGGAAATGTTTTATGGGAGAAGGAATGAGAATCAAGCAAGGAATCAAAATAAACTGTGTTTGTTGGTAAAATAATTAAATTCTATATTATTGAGATTTATGAAATACGTTTGTCGTTAACTATCGACAATACATATGATTTATACAAAAATATTAAAAAATATAAACAAAATATTTCCGTTGCCGGGACTTGAACCCGGGTCTCTCGGGTGAGAGCCGAGTATCCTAACCAACTAGACTACAACGGATTTGTGAAACTAACGATAATTGTTTTATAATTATCTGATGGTTCCTTTCTTCTAAAATCCTATCCTTTTTAGTTTTTGGCATATTGTTTTTCAAATAAATTATTTTTTTATTGTTTATGCTTAACTACTATAAAGTATATATATATATAAAGAATACATTTTTATTTATATATTTGAAAAAAATATTTTCGTACATTTAATGGAGTTAAAAGTTGTTATTGAAAAAAAAAATGGTTGAAATTTTTGGGCTTCCCGTTCAGTTTTGTTTGGGTATTCTTATAGCTTCTTTAATCATCCTGGTTAGCCCAAATCGCACTACTTTTAATTTGGGCCTTTTACATTCTTACAACTGTTTGGGAAATAGTTATCACGACAAACAAACACCCCCGCCTTATCCCATCTACGCACAAATATTTTTATCAATTCAAAAGTCTCTTATTTTAATCGTATCATAATAATACATAGAATAATTAGTAAAATATTTTTAATTAACTTTTTTTAGTAAAGAAAATAAAATGTATCATAATTTATAAATAAAATATTTTTACTTAAATTTAAAAGGTAACAAGAGCTGTCTTTTTTTTTTTACGAGGAAATCATAATATGCACAATCTATATTCAATTGGATTAAAAAAAAAAAAAACTCCTCAAAATTAATACCTCAAATGTATAAAATTATGGTTTTAAACAAGATAAATTACAAGTGTCATCTCATGCCAGTTAATTTAATTACAAATCAAATTATGGAGTTTAAGGTATGGTATGTAATTAAATTTATATGATTAATGTCAGGTAAATTAATAAAGTAGATTGTACTAATTTGTCCAGAAGTAGATTTCCATTATTACTGTTGATTGACTGGTTTTGTAACGTGGTTCGTGGAAAAATGAGAGAGGTTTAAAAAGAAAAATTAAAAAGAACTTTTCCGTTGCCGGGACTTGAACCCGGGTCTCTCGGGTGAGAGCCGAGTATCCTAACCAACTAGACTACAACGGATTATGCAAACTACGCCTCTTTTTTATAATAGATTCATATTTTAAACACGTTACATAGGCACACCCATTACATAGAACAGACATGCATGTATATATCAAAGATAACATACACATAGGAGGTATAAATCTAAAATTATTAGTAAATATAATATTTTAATTTCTTATGTAAAATAATGAAAATGTTTATATGTAAATAGTTAACCTGTGCAAGAATTAAAGAACATAATTTGGTAAAATGTTTGTAGGAGAACTATAATTAATATTGCTACAAGGACATAATAAAAAAATAAAAGGTTAATTGTAAATTCAACCCTAAATATTAAATTATTTTTCTTCAAATATGAACGGTCTATATTTATATAAAAATTAAATTAAAAAATTTACGAATTGAAAAATATGTTTAGACGATATTTTTTTTTATCATACATGGAAATATATTTGGGTGATTAAAATTGAAAAATAAATATTTAGAGAATAAAAAAAAAAACTATGAAGAATATTTCTTTAAAATATGGTCATTTTAAAAATTAAAAATAAAATTTCACCAAAAGTACGATGACCGTCAAAATTTAGTCAAAAGAAGAAATTGAGAAGTATGTCAAATGAACGGCAAAGATTCGAGATCAGTGGGGCCCAGATGAGCAAACAGCTTTGATGTGAATGTCCATTTTGGTCAATATTGTCCGAGGATTCCCGACCTCCCAAAAAAAAAAAAAACAAAAACAGCCGCAACAGCCCGTATTTCCCGGGCTCAAGATATTCTTGGCGGGAAAGTCATAGATTAGGGTTGTTTTCCCGCCAAAATTACCGGGTAGTTCGGGCAGGCTAAAACTGGGGCAGATAGGGTTTTCTCTCAAGAATCAAAGCCGCGTAAGACCCAATTCCCAAACAACAACACGCGGGTAAGGAAAAAATAAAAGAAAAAAGGGAAGAGGAAACGAAAAGTGCGGCTTTGAGGGCCAAGGCGGCCGAAAAAGGGAGCGAAAGTCGATGATTGGTCTGTCAAATACTCTTAAACAGTGTCTGCCGTGACGCAAGTTTTGACGTTATTTTCCAATCTGCATCAGTCATCATTGCAAATTAATGTTAATACTTAAAATTAATTTTAATAACTAAAATTTCAAATTACTCTACGTTTTGATTATCCCATTACCGTTATGTTATTTCATCACATTATTCTTTTATTCACCTCCTAAACAATAATTTTCTCCAACCTAAAGTATATAATTATTTAATCAATTTATTAAACCAATAATCGTATTCTAATCAGTTCAATAAGCTAATAACTGTAAAAAAAAAAAATATTCCATTTCGCAAAATCTTCTATATATTTTTTGTGTTTTTAATTTATAAAATTATGAACTAAACTGTCCAAATAGACAAAGAAAATGAGATAGAACCACCATCACATAGTCTCTTAATTAAACTTCCATTAAATATCACGAATTTGATTAAAATATAAATATAAAACTTGTTTATTTTTTTACCATGACGAACAATTATGTAAAATAATTATTTTATTTTCATCGTAGTTATAATAGTTATAATAGTTATAATTAATTAATACTCAATTTACTATTTATCACTTTAAAAAATAATAAATTATTAAAATAATTTTTTAAATTTTACGCTTATTACAATTTGATTAGTAATATTTTTTAAATTAAAATTTAATCATTAATATTTTTTTATTTATTTTAAATATTCAATTTTGTAATAAAAAAAAATTAAAACTAAGTAAAATCATACTTCAAAGTTTCTAAAAATCATTCAAAAGAATAACTTTTAACTATTTAATTAAATTAATACTTTAATATTAGTCAAAATTATTATTTTGAGTTCTTTCAAATTTTCAAACACGATCTAATTAATTTTAACTTTTTTTAATCAATAAATACAAAATTAAATACTTGAAATAAATAAAAAATATTAAAAATTAAGTACAAAAAATAAAACAAATATCAAATTTTAAAAATATAATTTTTAATAATTTGACAAAAAAAAAAAAAAAGAATAGCAGAGAATAAACTGCTTTCTCCCACTAGATTAGAATCTTCCCCGTCTTAGGATTCCTGAGGCGGCCCATGTGTACATGTCCACGCTTTTGCCTCTGTTTCATCACATTGGATTCCCCCTTTTTCTACTTTTGCTTACTAATTTTTCTCATCGACCTTTTCCTTTTTTTTTTGGTACCATTAATTATCTAAAACAGTCTTCCGCAATTATATCTCCCTTTTCTTATTTTTTTTTTCTACACATGTATATATTCATTCATTCATTCCCTCACAATCATATCGTACCTGTATATAGATATATATATTTAAAATATTAAAGAAATTTTTTTAACTATTTA